AATTTATCGTTAATACGGCATAGGCACTGTAGTAAAAAAGTTTGTGAAGTCAGTTTGAACCCTGACCCAGGTGCACCAACCATCGATGTTTTGATTGACAGTATTATGATCTTGGATATTCAGGTAAATGGTAGTTGGAGCGTCAATTTAATGAACGCTGATACAATGGATGCTTTAGATTTGGAACACTTAGTACCTACGACATTGCTATTACCGATGGCAGATCATGGGTGGGTTAAATCAATAGGTATCTTACGGAGTGTTCAAACTATGATTGCCGATATTGCATATGAAATTGACTATATCGTCTTTTAGTTATAACGTTCGATTTTATCATATCTAATTTTATTGGGACGACCCTGGCTTTATCAAGCAAAGGCCAAGAACGATTGGGGTTGGAGTACTTTGACAATTAGCAAGGGCAAAGACAAAATAGTGTTACAAATGTACCCGGTATAATATCATGGAGAGTCTCAATTGCCAGCATCTGAATTAACGTCGAACGATGAGCTTAGCTCCGATGACGACGTAGTAACACCAATTACGGAGGTGCCCATGGAGGCAGCACTACACCCTGGAGTGGTATACCAATGTGGAGGTCTGGGGGAATACTTGATATATTTGATGAGCTCGAAAAACTTGGATTATGTTAGTACTGATTGGATGACCAAATATGATGTGCACCATGTTAGTGCCCTGGACACAGGATTCAGTACTTCATACATGTCAAACTTATTGACTGACTTTAAACCAGTGTAGGGGTTGAAACAAAACATCACCGTTGCACCTTTATGTCAAACTATCAACTTGGCGACCACAGCAGAACCTCGGACAATTAAGGTCTATGAAGGTATTAAGGAACAAGAGTTGACCTGCTGGACCGAATTTTTCTTGCATCATAAATCTGCTTTTGCTTGGACTTATGATGATTTAAAAGGTATTCCCACTGAAGTCTCTGAGCATCGTATCATTTTAGAGGAGAACACTAAATCGGTACAGTAGAGGCAACATCGCCTTAATCCTAAATATTCCCTCATGGTGAAAGAGGAATTGGATAAACTTCTCGACGTGGGTTTTATTTATCCTATTCTGCATAGTGCATGGGTGTCACTAATCGTGATGGTACCAAAAAAGAATGGAAATTGTCAGGATTTTCGGAAACTTAATGTGGCCACCAAGAAAGATTACTTCTCATTACCTTTCACGGACAGTATGGATAACATATTTTTATTATCACCACTAGGTAAAAGAATAGGAGTGGGGCACCAGTTAAAGTCATTTTGTGGTGTTGTTTTGGGTTGGCTGAAGTGCCATTTTCTTATATTTCTTGTGTTTTTGAAAGTAGTAGTTCCAGTTAAGAGTTAACAGTGAAAAAGCTTGGAACAAAGAAAGAGAGCGCATGGTGGAGACCCACAGGCAAGAACTATTTTGGGCTCATAGTCATTCAATTTTGGAACTAAAAAAAGTGAAGGGTCAATTGGTAATGGAATGAGAAAAGACCGAGTTATTGGCGCAAGAGAAATTGGTATTGAGTAACCAATATAGATGTGAAACGGAGCGGTTAAGGGCTAAAATTGAGGCCTTGAATGCCGAGGTGACAAGATTGGCAAAGAATTTAGTCAATATTGGTCAAGCACAAGTATCGACATTACTAGTTCTCGAAGTTCTAGAAGAGAGGAGTCACTTTCAGTGCCAGTTGGAATTGAGAGATGCCCAGATCCTGAAATTGGAAGCTCAAGTCCGTGAATTGGGTGAGTACAATGAAGACCTTTCAGCTCATTTGAGGCAGGAGCCGATAGAAGGATTGGAGGAAGATGAAGATTTGCAATTGGAACCGGAATCGGTGGAACCAATAACAGATACTGCGATAATTGATTAATTTGATAGGTTAGAGGGATCACAATTTTTGTAGAGTTTTGTTAGATAATTTTTAGATAGGTATCAATTGAGTGTTTGCAAAGATGCTGCACAGTTAGGAGTGGAGCTATGTAGAATAAGTAGTTATTTTCAGAATGTAGATATCTAGTATATAGTGTAAACATGGATAGATAACTGTTGAAAAGGTGGTTCAGCAGGTAGAATGGATGAATAGTCAGGAAAAGTAGTTATCATCTGTAGTATAGGAGTTGGTATCTCGGGGTAGTATAAGGAGGATGGGAGAGGGGAAGAAAATGCTAGACTGCGATAGTATTGAGCCGAGAATAAGCTTGGTGCTATCTCTTCTTCTTAATTTTCTTGTTTCTTTTGTGGTAGTGATGATTCTAGTGAAGAGAATCGATTTAATGAATTAATGTTTGATTTACGAAGTTATTTATGGATCACTATTTATCAATTATTATGAAAGATTGGGGACGTATGGAAGTTTTCAATCACTGTTTATCGCAAGATTGTAAGTTTAGTGGAGAGGAATTGTAATCGAAGGAATTGTCTTGATTAGATTCTGAGGATTGGAAGTTGTTCGTTCCAGGGTTTGGGATATGCTTGTGTATTCGTGAATTATACAGGGTATTGAAATCATTGTCGTGGATGTTATTGTATTGATATGAGAGAGTGGACAGTAGGAGGAACAGTTAAGTGTTCTTTGGTATGGTAAGCATTCAGCAGTAGCGGTTAATTATGTGATCCTAAAAATTGGAGCTCATATACATGGTCATTCCCCGTGTTTGAATCCCCCTATATGGATTTATGCTGGGAGGTTTCTTCCAGAATAAGTAAAACGAGCAATCACATGCTTATATCTTTTATTTTTCTAATCTACCTTATTTTGTATTATTTATGGCCTTATAAACTAAACAAAAGCCTACTTTATAAAAAGGTGGCATTTATACCTTTACTTTTACTTTCTTTTGGACTATTGTCTATTTTCTAAGATAATTTGCTATAATATTTGAAGTAAGATCTTCTTTAATAGAATAATCTTTTCACCTTTTCATTTATTAATCATGTTACATCATGACAAAGGTTTCAAAACAAATCTTATGTCTAAGGTTCCTTATAAGACACCAAGGTAGTCAATTGATATAGAGCATGGATGGATAATACAAGCAGCTAATAATACATAAGGTGAATTATTTGGAACTTGCCCTAATATTAAAATTTAGTTTGAAAATATTGCAACAAAGTAATATTTTTTTTATTCAAGATATAACATCTTATCTATTGAATTTATGACAACCATATATTACAACAATAGAGATAAAATATGTCGAGTTCACCAAATATACATATATATAAATATGTATGTATATATATATATATATATATATAGAAAATTGTTAAATTGATCCACCAATTATCAAAGGTTGTAGATACAACCAAGTTTTTTTAATGGTTTTCAATCAATATAAATCCAACAGTGGAGAATTTTTATCATATTTATCAAAGTATTATATAAACCATACAAAAACTTGTGATGTGTTTTGAATGGATATATGCTTGCTTACAATGCCTATCAAAGTTAAAACCATATGATGTGTGTTTGCTGAAGGCAAACCTATTACCCGTGCAATAGAGTACCCACAAGATCATACTGGTTGGATGATTTCAAGGCACAAATCCAAGAAGGCATCCAATTGACGATGCCAAAGATTAGGGCTAGGATACGCAGCCTTGGAGGTCAAATACGGAATCGTTGAGGTGTCGATGAGCTAATGGTTTGACCACCAGATCAAAGCAACCAGTTGTTGCAGATCATCCTTTTTGCATTCCGTTCGATGCGATACAAGGGGTTGCAAAGTTTCTCTTGTGAAGTCACCTTGTTATCAAAGCCGATTCAATGGGAGGATGGGCTGTGTCGATACTGCGCTGGATCAGAGGCATCGAATCCAATTGGGTTGTGCAGTTAATGTATGACTGTTAACATGAACTATTGTTTACACACACACACATATATATATATATATATATATATATCAAAGATATATACGTGTGTGTGTGTGTGCAGTGGGCAGTTAGTGGTCCATAACACGAAAGCATACATTTTTGTAGTTCTTGTCGTTGTATTATCAAGCTCAGTATACATCACGCTCCGAACACTTGGCGCCAGATAATGATTTCTTCAAACCCATTGCCTAGGCGCAACATGGGCGCGATGACTATGTTCCGATGCTCAACATATTTTTATATATTTTCGATCGGGAAATGTTCTGGTAATATTCCCTTCCCTGATTTTGGGAAAAAGCCTTGGAGCCGTGACGGGATCGATTGTTAGGAGTGTCGATAGATGTAAATTTGAGGTCGTCGGTTCACAGAAATTCTGCGGTTCTGGACCTAGTCTCAAACAAGTCACGGAATCCGCATACAAATCGAAACAAGGGGAATATGAAGACCAGTAGAGTTCCAGACTGCAGTTCTGAAAGTCCGGACTATGGACCCCGGAATCGGACTAGATACTCGTACGTTCCGTGGGGTTGCCGTTCCTCGGACAGCCGATGCGCTGTCAAGGACGAATATCAAGCTTGCAGTATATTCAAAGTTCATAATTAGAGCCCGAAATCACGATTTATCGAACCAACTTTCTCAATGTTGTGGTCAGGGGCCACTCTACTGCAAATTTATGAGTCCAATAGCGTTTCGGTAAATTTCATGAATAGGCTGTGGACCATCTCTAATTCACACAAGCGTGAATCTGCATGGAACAAAAGAACAGTGCTGTTCAGCGTTTATTTGCAATACTGCTAGCTAGTGTTGTACTATTAGATACCCCTAAGGAATCGTGTTACAAGGATATTTCCGACAATAGCCCTCAGCGGTCGAGCTATTTCTAAACAAGATCAACGAGGCCTCTTTTCTTTTGTGCGAATGTGGGTAAGGAAACGTCTGATATTTATCTAGTGAAGCTGATGAAGTTCAGATCCTTCACGACTTTCTTGACAACAGGTGTCAAAAATGTAAAATAAGTGTGTTTTCAAAGTTTGGAGTTTAGAAGAAATAAATGGTTACAATTTTTTTTAAAAAGAAATGTAAATAAAAAGAAATTGCAACCAAGATTTATAACATTGTATTCAAATTTGACCATGTGGATAATTCATTATCATCAAGGCTCACAGATGACATCTTCTTTTATGAGATATCATGCATTTCAACACATTCTGACTATTTCGGAAATCACTTTGTTTTTTGTAGGATAATCCCCCTATCATGGTACAATAATTGGATACACCACCATCATCATCTCCTTCAGCAAACTGCGCACTGCTTTTTCCTCTGACAGGTCATTCCGACCTGCACGGGTTCTATGGCATGTGAAACATTTTTTGAGTGTGTTTTCATCTTTAAAATATTACATATAGTTGTGGAGTTAGACAGATCTACAGCGCCACCGTGGGCTGCTTATCAAACTCCATCGAACCGTGTTTGGTGTTGTCCAACTCAGAGGCACCATGTTTTGACAAGTCATATATCTCGCCATCACCCCACAATGCATAAGCCTCCTCCCCGTGCTCGGCGTCGTCACCGATGAGGAGATGCTCGTCCGACATACGTAGCGGGGTTATCAGTTTAATGACGTTGAGAATTATGCTCGTCACGACAATGTTCCAGCCAATTATGAAAAGAGCCGCTACAATTTGCTTGCCCAGTTGCTTTCCTCCAGAACCTCCGTAGAAGGCACCCTGCAAACCTACGACCGGAAGGAAATAATCGCAAAGCGTGTTCTCTGCAAGACATCCAGAGAGTAATCCGCCCAAGAGGCCAGCCACAGCATGGGTGTGAAACACGCCCAGCGTGTCGTCCACCTTCTGAAGCAGCTTCGATTTCTTGTGAACCACCATCATTGTGAACCAGGGCACGGATCCTGCAAAGACGCCCATCACGAGCGCCGCCCATCCCTGGACGAGACCTGCAAGCGCACACATTTTCAAAACAAAAGTTTCAAAGGTGCGTCCGTTTGATCCAAAGCTCAACTCAGTTCCTGTAAAGAATGCATGTTTGAAAAACACTATGAATAAGAATATACATAAGTTTTACCTGCACCGGGGGTGATGACGACAAGACCCGTGATCATTCCCTGCACGGCACCAATCACGGAAGGCTTGCCAAAGACAACGACGTCAAGGCCAGTCCACACCAGCAAGCTAGTCGCAGCGCAAACGTTGGTGTTGATGACAGCGATGGATGCAATCAAATTTGCAGATACCGCTGCACCGCCATTGAATCCTGCCCACCCCATCCACAGAAGCCCAGCCCCCGCTAGCATGAGCAAGACGTTGTTGGGAGGAAAACGCTCGCGGTCCCTAGTTAGCCTTGGTCCAACCTGCGAAATGCAGGAAAACGCCTTCAGCTGGTAATCTGATTCCACACGTACACATGATCAATGACAATCTACGAACCAATTACATCCTTGTCAACCATATCACCGGTGGAAAAGAACCTTGACTGAAGTGGAGAGAAAAATTAACGTCATTGAAAGGTTTTTTTTTCTTTTATTCCATCAATAACGACGTTTTTCTTCAAGGGATGGGTGCCTTACCCAATAAGCAGCAGTGAAACCAGCAATACCGGATGAGAGATGAATAACAAAACCACCGGCGTAGTCAATAACGCCCCATTGCCATAAGAATCCACCACCCCAGAGGCTGAAGGCACCGACTGTGTAAGAACACGTCAGCCATAATGGGACGAACAGCATCCATGCTCGGAAGCTCATTCTCCCCAAAACAGATCCTGCCAAAAGCACGAGGGTGATTGCCGCAAAGACGAACTGGAAGTACACATGCGTCGCCATCGGATAAAATGGCATCAACTTTGGGACATCAGGTGTGGCGCTCGCAGGCAGTTCCGCCTGCGAGAGAAGATACTTGAAGCTGAGCGTGGTTCCCGCCTTGCCCCAGATGGGAATGAGCTTCTCCCCGAACGACATCTTGTAAGCCCATGCCACCCAACACAGCAATACGGCAGCGAAGGCATAAAACGCCATAAATGCTGAATTCACAGCCCATTTCTTCTTCACGATGCTGCCGTAGAGGATCACCAGCGCTGGTACGGTTTGAATCCCCACCAGAGTGCTGGCCGTCAACTGCCATGCATTGTCGCCCTTGTTAAGCCATTCGGGAGTCACGGGCGCTGGAGGTGTCAAGGCCATCTTGTCGATTCTCCTCTCTGACTGCTGTCCCTTCAACTCCTCGGAGCACGCTGCCGCTGCTTCGAATTGGCATGCAACACCAACAGATCAAAGAGTGTGAGAGAGAGAGATCTAAATTATAGGGGAACAGAATTGGGGGAAACCCATGAGGGAGATCCGCCCAATTTGAGGCCGAATCCAAGTTTTTAATTGTGTACAGCTCTTGACCACTGTAGTAACCGTGGTCACCCGCCCTTCAAGAGAGCGCAGGATTCTTTTGAACCGAAACCACACCCTCGTCTACTTTACTGCTCCAGACCTTACGGATCCTAAATACAGACGATTCCTTCCCAGAACCTTGGATCCGCCGGCCTTTAGGAATTTCCTCGCTGGATTAGTGAGTACAGAATGAAATCGCCCAGACCGGCACCCGATCTATTGATATCGTGAATCGACACCCGGAAGTAAGAGGTTAATGAACGAAGAGAATTTGGATGAGGAATACAGAAGGCAGTTATCATCACAGTTTTACATACCCTCAGTCAACAATGTTGCAACTTGACAAAGTACCCTTCCACCGAAGAATAGGTCTAGAGAGTTTCATGTGAGCACCATCATCGAATCCCACAAAAGTCATTAACCAATGAATACTAATTCATTTTGTCTAGGTTCCTCAAAACACGAAAAAATCTGTCCATCATGAGGCTGGTGTGAATCAAGGGCAAGACTAGCTGCAGGAGCTTAACTGAATTCTCGCCCTGGATGCTAGCTTTTGGTGAGCAAAAGCATCGTTAAGCTACTAGGAATCATTGGACGGAGTTCTCCTGGAATCAAGCACAATCGCTCTTTGGCCTCTAAGCCCGTACTTGTGGAACCTTTCTGGACCCTTCAACTTCTTGGCTACTGTACGGTTTGTGATTAACAAATGCAGCATTTGGTCGCGCCTCAGGCAGGTCTTGATGGCTTATGTGCCCGATACAGACGTACTCATGATCTCGCACCCGCCTTCGGTGTCAACCTATTATGCTCTCTATTTTTCCTGCAGCAAAGTTCGGCAGGTGCACTATCATATGCGCAGGTGGTCACGAAACAGGCAACGACATCTTTTTTACAGTTGAACAGAGCCCCGCATTCTGGATAAGAATAGTACATATTACAGACTTTGGGCTCACAAAGTACTGAAGCTTGGGGACGTCGCTTGGTATACTTGAGCTGAAAGTAGAAGGTCAAGTCACGGTAGAAGAGTTGCGTCACTTTACTCAAACGAGCAGAAAATTCTACAATACTTACGGAGAAACCAAGCTTCCGTCCGTGGCATGGACCCCTCAACTTGCCCAAGTCTCAGAGCCAGTTTTTCTCCATCCGCGTTGAAGACTTTAGAGAATGTCAAGCAAGTGATCAGAGGTCAAAGCATACCAGGAAGGCAGTCAGCCCAAAGAAGCTAGGCGCATTTTCTTGAGTTTCTCGGAGCTTGCCGCACACACTTCACAATCACGGATTTGAATTTTCCAGTCACAGGATCCGTTTCAAAGGGATCCAAAGACGCCGGTCATTATCGGGGATGTGGAATCCGTGCTTGAAAAACAGCGTCACCTCTCGCATGGAATGAGGAACCCAGAGGCCCAGAGACTGTAGCATGCCTTTGTTTGCTGCAGTGTGTGGCGATCGTGAGGCGGAGCCCCACCATCGCCCCGCCCACTTCTCTGAAATGGATCCAACCAACTTTTCAGGAGTTTGCTTGCGCTGCGGTCCGCTCCATTGCGGAGCCTCGGCCACGGCGAAAGACTGTTCCATCGTTTGTATTCAACCCTCCCCCTTTTGGACGCGACTGGCGCCACATTCGCTCCTTCTTCGAGGCTTGGCTAGTCATTGGTAATTCGTCGTCGAAGAAATAGAAATATTTCTATTTCTAAAAAAATTAATAGGAAATATGGATTAGATCAATATTATTCCCAATAAGTATGGATGAATATATATATATATATATATATATATATGTATATATTTATGTATATATGTATAATTGAAGAATTAATATTAAATATAGATCTTTCTAAATGACAAATCAAGATACGACTACTATTATTTTAGTTGTTAAATAGAGAATTCAATTAATATATATATATAGTAGATAGGAATTTGAAGTTGATTAAAGTGATTAGAGATCCTAATATTTCTAAGTAATGAATATTAAAGCCTCAATGCTTTTACAAGCAATCTTATGATCCCATCATATTAATTAAATTTACATCATTTATCAAAAATAATTCTATTATTATTATAATTTGTTTCTAGTGACTACTTCCTCTAATATTTCTAGTTCCAATTACTTGAAGAATAGTCTTGTATTTTATTATGTCAATTATATTCTATAATTATTTTATAATCTTATTAATTAATTATTAATTAATTTAGTGATCTTCAATTTCAAAGCTCCTTATTTTTACTTCAAATTAGCTTTATCTATAGTATTTTACTTTTAATCTTTTAAATACAAGATAATTATTTATTTCTAATTCTATCTTATTTAAGTTAATTATTTTAAATAATAATATTTAATTATTCATTAATAACATTATCATATTTAATTTTAATTTTTGATTATATTTTTATCTTTGTAGTTTATTAAATAGTCTTTACCTACACCTCTTATGTCTTATATCTTCTACCATTGATACAAATAGAAAAATATGTATCAATTAGAATAACTAATGGTGTTTTGTTATTTAAATAAATTTCAATATCCAATGGGATTCTAACCTATGCACATCAAATTTTGTAGAATATTCTAATTGTGTTACATCTTAGATTATAATAATACTTTTTAAAAGATATTTTTGCTTTTAATGATATTTATTAAGAATATTCTTTTAATAATTTAAGCTCAAAATCTCTTAATTCTAATTTCTTGATTTTTATTTTTTTATTTTATGTGTCAAGACATGAATCTCAAAGAAAGAAAATCTGCAATACATTCTTGTATCATTGAAAAAAACTAGAGAATCACGCAAAAGATGATGTAATATTAAATTAGAATAGCGATTGCCAAAAACAAGAAGACTAGAAAGTCTTGAAACAAAACTAAAGACTAAAACAGTATTGACAAGAGTAAAGAAGGCTTCATTCTTGCCTCTATATATACTCTCTAACTAAGAATTATGTAGCAATATTCTATAAGACCTCCAACATGTGTTGACTTTGCTACCCACATGTCTTAACTTACAAGGCAAGTTATCTGTGTACGTACCACATAGTTAGCTTGTTCTACAAGCTATCAACATATGGTTAATTTGTTGACTAAGTTTCTAATCTACAAACATATCTAAAGTCAAAACTGCATCTATAAAGCTTCTAGGATGCTTCCTTAGAAGACTTTATGAAATTAATCTATATTTACCTACTTCTACCTAATTATATAAATAACTATTAGAATAAATATATATATGTCCATGATATTACTCTTCCTTCTAAAAACGAGTTTCATAAGGAGTGATCTTTAAATATTGAAGAAGTCCAAGATGCAACAAATTACTTTTGCTATATACTCTAATCTTTGCTCTCTTTGAAGATGGTTGATAGGTTCTCTCAGCCATCAATAATGTCCCATATTAGGGCAAGAAGACTACCTTGTTATTTGGTCGTTGTTAAGGCCTTTGTAACTTCCTTCAAATAAAAAATTTGAAACATCATCAAGAGTTGTTTCTACCTCTAATAAAATCACCAAATATTGAGAGTCTCTTTCAAGGTCGTGATACCAAACACATTATATCTCGCCATCTATTTAAGGAAGGACATGTCATTCTTGATGATCTTCATCTTGATTTTGTCATCTTGAAGGTTGTGACAATTGTAATGTCTCGTCTGGTAAGTTTGCAAATAAAAGCTCTTGAGTCGAATCTACTCATTGTTGGTTCTCCATCTCTTTAGTATCACAAATATACAGAAGTTACAAAGAAAGATAGAAGATGGAATGTTATCTTTCTTTAATCTTATTTCTTTTATAGCAAAGATTTATTATTCTTTATGTTGATTTTGATGGATGTTATTGATAAAAGGCTTCAACTTTCTATGTTACATTTGTAAGATTCTTTGATGACTCCCATGTGCATTCACTAATATTATATCTATGCCAATGAATAAGATATTCCAACTTATTTTGACACAACTTTGAGTCTAAAACTCCTTCCAGCTTGAATTCTTGATTAATATCCACTTTTGTAGGAGAAGGTCGCATTTATCTTCTTTCCAAGATATTCACTATCTTATACGGCTCAACAAGAGATACGTGAAATCTAGTGTAGATCTTCTTAGACTCCAATAGATGTAATTGATAAGCAATAGAATTGATTTATTCACAAATAGAAAAAAGTGCCAGCTTATAATAGTCCAACTTATCACAAGGATGAGTAGTCTTGATATTGTGACAAAGTAATCATATCTTGTCATCGATATTGAATTGTAGTTGCTCCTTGTGATAGGCATCCATGTTGGTCTTTTGTCGTTCTTGAGCTTCTTTTTATTGTGTCTTTATTGGTGTATGTAGCGCCAATAAATAATTTCCTAAATATTTCGCATCATGATTATCAACTTTTGAAAAGTTGAAAGTATTAAGTTATGGATGATAACCATAATTGGCAAAGAAAGGTACTTTTTGAATAGAAAAATATACTAAATTATTGTATGCAAACTCTGCCAATGGCAAAAGAGTTGTCCAATCATTTTAATGATAGTTGATGGTACACCTCAAATACTACTCCAGAATTTGATTCATCCATTCTATTTGCCCATTACTTTCACGATGAAAAGTCAAAGAAAGCTGTATATCCACTTTTAAAATCTTGAATAGAATTCTCAAGAATCTTGATACAAATTGAATCCCCCTATCCAATATAATATCCTTTGGCAATCCATAATAGCAATAGATATTGTCAATAAAAAATTTCGTTGTTTTTTCACTTAAAATAGATTTTATATATGGTACAAAATATTCCATTTTGATGAAGCGATCTATGATTATAAATATAAAGTCATATGAGCTTGAGATTAGAAGATCCATGATAAAATCCATAAAAACAAAAGACCATGGTTGTTCTGGAATTGGTAATAATTGAAGAAGTCCATAAGGTCGATGGCAAGGAATTTTTGATCTTGAAAAAATATCATATGATTGTATAAAGTCTTTGACTACCTTCATACAAAAAGCTATTGGATGGAGTTTGTCATCTATTCCTATTTGTGCTAATATGACACCCATAGCAAAGTGTGATGCATCTGTTTCCATATAAAATACCTTGGAGAAGTCGACACAATATAAGATTGGTACAAAAATAAACCCCTTCTTTTAAGTATCAAATGATACTTGTGCTTCTTTATTCTACTCAAGTTTGACTTTATAAGTCAAATGTATAAGTAGAATTACAACTTCAAAAAAGTTCTTGATGAAGATTTGATAATAATTAGCAAAGCCCAAAAAGCATTACACATCTCATATTTTTCTTAAAATCTTCCAATCTATGATAGTTTGGACCTTCTTGGGATTCATCATAAGGCCTTCGTTGGAAATGATGTACCCTAAAAAGTCAACTTGAGTAGTATAGAATATACACTTTTTTAACTTGGCATATAATCCTATATCTCTAAGTTTTTTTAATATATGACAAATATGAAGTTCATATTCTTCTATGTTCATAGAGTAGATTAGAATGTTGT